TATATATATTTTATATATATATCTGTATATATATATATTCTTCTTCTTGCTGAAGAATATATATATATATTCTTCTATATATATATATCTCTGTATATATATATCTGCTTCTTCTATATATATATATATATATATATATATATATATATATATATATATTTGTTCATACGGATTTTTAATTATACAATTTATCTCAAGATTGCAAAATATATATTGGTATACATACAAATATGATGCTGTTAATACGAATTAATTTCACGTTGCTTGTGTTCGTGGTTTTCAACGCTTTAGATACGAATCAATATAAATCATCAGTCGTACGAATATTGGAAAAATTATGGCAACGAGAGAAGGATGCGGCACACCGGCGCTTGAAAAATCTTCCACGATGAAAACGTGCAAATAGTCCGGCTATTTGCGTATTATTCTCTTATTAACTTTATAAATTACGAAATATCCTCATATAAATATCTATCTGCTAGATCCACCAACAACAAACACACTCTGTCGTGATGCTTTTTATACTTTTGTAACAATTATTTAGGATAACACGTGTTAAACTGTATTTAAAGTTCCTTTCACACACACACACACACACACACACACACACACACATACCAGTGACGTTATTAAACTTTAAAGTCTATAAATGAAATGCAACTCCGCATTATTTCTCGTCCAAATCATACTGTTGTAACTTTTCATACTCTGAAGATACTGTCTATGAGAAGCGTGTAACAACCAAAAAACAGTACATCCATGATATGGTGAACACGTGGAGAGATAACGTGGTAAAAAATACGACAAATAGACGAGCTTTTTTTTTTTTCGTTACGTGTTACACTTATTTGGTCGTTATTTACAGGACAGGATGGATCACCTGTGCTATCTGATTTTTTTTCATTCGCTTCGGTTAATATAATAATTGGCGGACGAGTAACAAATGACAATTTCCCATGAATACAGAAAAATAGGAAAGAAAATTGTGCAACAACGTTTTCATCACTTTAACGTTGATTAATTATCGACAATAGGATCATTCGAGTCCCCCCTCAACTTCATAATCAGCTCATACTTTAACACGTTCCATGCCATGTGTACCACCGGTGGTACACGTTAAACTTGAT